GACGCTCCTGCGCCTGTAAGCTAAAAATGCTGTACATGCCTACTTTGACCTGTATAGTATAGAGAATTTGAAAGTTCTGCCACATTTTTGGGTTATGCTGTGTTCCTGTAGTCGTTGTTTGACAGTGTGCATTTCCCTATACAGTGGTTCTTTATCTTTCCAAAAAAAAATGTTGTGGGGTTTTATTTGCATAAGCTAAATGGTATCTGCTGTTTACAAATAAAATGTGAATACTGTGTCACTTCAATTATTCAATTTAAAAAAAAAAAAAAACTGCAGTGATGTTTTTATTATCACTGAACAGTTCCACTTCCCATGGTTTAACAGCATACCTACGCTATGTCCTAAAACAGATGTCTCTGTCCTCCAGGGCTTTCACGTGAATGACAAGGTCCTGGCCAGCTGGTCTGACTGCCGTTTCTACCCCGCTAAAGTAATTTCAGTCAATAAAGATGGTGGGTATTAATAACTTGAGTAGAACCTGCTTAAATTTTTAGAGGTGTTAATCTGAAGTGCTCTTTGAGCCAGTGAGTAAAATAAGCTTGACAAAACAGCAGTTTTTCTGATTATTCAAATTGTGTGGTTTCAGTACATGGTTGTGCAGCATAAACAATAGTCTGAAATGTTAAACTGGCACTGTCATTGGATGGGATTTGATTATAGTAAAATTGTTTTTTTTCCACTGGCACAATAAAGAAACGATGACGTTGGATCATTCTGACACCCGTACCACTACAAACCTCTAAATAGCTTTGTAGTGTATATCTCGCACTAAGTACAAAGATAACAACTGAAGCATAGCTACTAGGGTTTTAATGGTTCTGAACTGAAAACCGTGAGTCAAATGCTCACGATATGGGTTGGCGCTTACTGCTCCATCCACTGTAACAGTATAAGACACATCATTCACAAAAATTATTGTTTAAAGTTAGAGCCATCTGTATATTTTGTAAGTATTAGCTGGCCGCCTCTCTGTGTCAGTTTGTGGGCAGTACTCAGCTCCTTTATACACACACATTCACACAATGGCTGAGAGGCTGAACTGAAATTAAGTGGAATTAACAACACCTTTTGCTTTTTACTGTATGCGCAATAATATCTAGGCAGTAAAAAGCCAGTAACAGTCATTTATCAAAATTTACTGAATGAGCATAAACATGCAGAGAAGCAATCATTTCAGCTTTGCCCCCAGGTATGTATCAACAGTGAGCTTGTTAGGCTAGTAGTTAGTAGCTAACTGTTTAGAGGTGGCTGTTGTATGGTTCTATGTGGCCTCATCTCCCTGACCTCTGTCTCTCTCCACTAACTGCAGTCAGTTCAGACCATTGACTGTACAAAAGATGGACGACGTGACAGCTCCCAGAAGTGAAGCCACTGCAAGTTGATTGACTCCTGGTGTCTGGTAGTAGTAGTATAGGTCATAAATCCAGCACTCTTCATGTTAGTGGATGGGACAGGAGCTGAAATAAAAATTCAAATTACAGATCAAATTAATTTTTCCCAGAGGTCACTTCTGTGGTTTTGGTAGATATTATGTGTGTACAAATGGTAATTTTTTTGCTAAGTTTGTTTCTAATAAATTATTTGGTATAAAAATGAGTGCATTTTGGATGATTTGACAGCTTTGACTGGTGGCCTGGTACGTCACTTTACTCAGTCACTACTCTGCAGAAACTGGTTGCATAATGCCAAGATGGCAGTGATATATTAGCTTTTGCATAGTGGAGGGAAGTGGTGACACATCGTCCATCTTTAGATGCAGTCTATGGTTCATACCGACTCTGTCCACCTGCTTACCATTCATGTGTCTGTATCTGTATCACCATTAAACACTGAGGCAGCAGCAGTGGACTGTTGCTGACTTACTTTACATGAATAACAGTTTTAAAAAAGCAGAGATGTGGTTAAAACGGAGAAAAAAATCAGAAAAATCCAAAAGTTTCAAATTGTTTTATAGGCAGCAGAGAGATAGGATACTCATTAGTGTGTCCACTCAGTTTTATGCTCATTTTGAGGCTGGAGCTACTTTGTTGTTGTAGTTGTGCACTACCATCAGAAAAGCTGTCTTTAATACAATTTTTCTTCTCAAACCATAACCTTAAAATCATCAGTCTGTCACTGAATTGGGTAGCAGAGTAGGTGCAGCTGATAAATGTGTTTAACATGGTTTGAATCAGTTTGTTCTCCTTTTATGCCCTTCAGCATCCTACACTGTGAAGTTCTATGATGGCGTCATCCAGACAGTGAAGGGAATACATGTGAAGCCTTTTATTAAAGAGGTACATGAAGTTTAGTGATCATCAAAACATACATATCCACAATCATCGTCATTGTCTTTGTGTTTTGTCCTCTCAGTTTTTAGTGCTTTCTTTTTTTTAAAACACATTTCCTAAATTTCCCTCTTTCTTCTGCTGACAACAGAGAGGTGGTGCTGGTGGAGGGAAATCTAGGTCCAGTGAAAGGAACATGGTCAGGAGGGTCCCGAACCGTAGAGACAGGAGGTCTCAGGAGAATGGGAGTCCCAAAAACAAGCGTGCCAGACGCAGCACTTCCGGCCAAGAGGAGGACAGTAACAGTGAGGATGAGGAACGGGAAGAAGGGATGGTAAATGGCAAGAACAGAAAAACAAATGGGGACCCCACTATCAAACAGGAAGAGGAAATATCAGAGCAAACAGACCAGAACAAGCCCATGGATGCAGAAAAGGGGGCAGGACTCGCAAATGGAGTCAAGGTGGAGCTTGACAGCAAGCACAATGATGACATGTGTCATGTAAATGGAGAGGTGAAGCAGGAAGAGGTGGAGACAGAACAGAGTGAAACAAAGCCATATACAGAGTCACCCAAGCCATACACAGAGTTGCCCACTCAGACATCATCACAGTTGGAGCAGGTAGCTGTCACTATGACAACCACAGGATCCAGTGGAGATGTAGAGCAGAAGCCAAACATCCAGTCAGAAGGCTCTCATCCTGCAGCGGACGTGCCACCTCCTCAGCCTGTGAAACGTAAGTGTTAATGAATTAAAGTAGCATGCATGTCACTGGATTTGTAGGACTATGACCTTGAGTAACTGAATGCAGTAAACAGCACCTAGCATCTGGGCATATTTTCAAGACTTAAGTGAATAAATGAATGTATTTTTTTAATCATTGATAGCGGTAAGGAAGCAGGGTTTCCACAACCCTAACAGATTCAGCAGGGAGCCATGTGAGTACATCCCAACACACATTTAACAAACACAGTCACCACCTGTGTTCTTTGATGTAGCCCCTTCAACCCTTCTGTTGTTCTGTTTTAGTGTACCGAGTCATCAAAAACCAACCACCTCCCGTCCTGTCCATCAACCTCGACCACAACCCATTTAAGTGCAGCGCTCCTGGCTGCACAAAGTCATTTCGTAAGGCCAAGCTGCTGCACTACCATATGAAATATTACCATGGCGAGGAACAGCCTCTGGAGGAGGACCGCAGCCCCAACAGGAACGTCCAGACCAGTACCTCTGAAAAACAGGTTCCTGCCACCAGTTTGGATGGCCCGAAGAGGCGGCGCACCATCTCTGCCTCTCTGCGTGAGTCCCTCTCCACTCTCATGTCTGTCGCTATTAAATGACAAAGGAAGAGTTTTACATACTGGGTCAGCTGCTGTTTCTACAATGATCAGTCCAAATGCATGTAATGTACAGTAAAAGACAAACTGTAATCAGTATTTGTAAAACAAGGCTTTATTGGTATGACATTGTACTCCCAATCTTGCTTAAATATGAGGATTCTGGGCTTATATTCTTGGACTTTTCACAGACTCTGTTGGAGCCGCTGTGGCTCATCGTGGTGAGGTGAAGACTGCAGGGAGACGAACATCAGCCCCACCTGCAGTCAACACTCAGAGCCATCAGCAGAGGGCATTGCTGAGGGAGAAGAGCAAGGAGAACCAGCTGGACAGGAATGGATGCCAGCAGCAGGACAAGGACTCAAACAAGTGTGTCTTTGACATGGGTCAGTATTATGCAGTGAGAAAGTGTCATTTGTTAAGTGATAAAATGACTGCATTGTGTGTTATATAAAGTCATACCTGTTCACTATTAGTTTCTCCTCTTACAGAACAGTTTTGCTTATAGGATAGTAACATGCAGTTTTAGCTTAACTCTTGCCACTTAACGGTTCCCAGGGTCAGTAAGAGACAAATTGAAAGAGAAACCGAGACAGAAGGACTTCCTTCGCATTAAACTAAAGAAGAAGAAGAAGAAAAAGAAGGCCAAGTCTGGTAAGAATGGGTCCCTGGCGCTAGGCCTCCTTGCATATCCGCTGTGCTGCATGTGCACTCACTGTGATGTGGAAACAGCTAGCCTGCAAAGCATAAAGTGCTTCATTCACTCCTCTGGGCGTGGTGGCTGAGCCTCTGTGTGTGGGACAAGTGTTACATCTGTTGCAGGCCTCCAACCTATTTCCTCTGGATTTATTAGTCCAAGCTTCTACTTGTTTATTTGACAACACTGGTGAGGAAAAGCCAGATTTTATTGTGGCACTGATATGACTAATCCAAACGCAAATTCAACACTGTTCTCTCTATTACTCCTAGAGGGCATGGACACAGATGTATGCGTAGGCTGCCTTACACTCTCTGGTTGTTTCATGCATTTTACAGACCTGAAACATGGGCCACATGGGTTTTATCAGACTGACCGACCGACCCTGACTGTTGAGCCTGTCATTTGTCCATGATGTTTATTGTGCCACATTTTGTCATCTCCTATTGGGTGTGTGTTAGCATCTTCAAAGTTGACTTTTTTGTTCTACATCTGCTTTCCTCCCCTTCCTTGTATTAACAGACTACACAGGTAGTGAGGAGAATATTGACATCTCTGTTTTGGGTCTTCAGTCCAAATTGAATTTTCCATTCAAACCCCCCCCCTCACACAATCACAAGCCTGAGGCCTACCCCAGCAGGCCTGGATACAGCTACTCAGAGCAGATACATGTGGATGGTGGGTATCCCTATGAAGGTGTGTGTGTGTGTGTGTGTGTGTGTGTACCTGGCTTCCTCCCCCTCCCCCCTCCATTCTTCTATAACTGTTGGATTCAGTCCACCATGCTGTTTTGGTCTGATTTGCATCTCGGGTCACTCACGTCATGACCCCTAGAATGAAACTGGCTGCTGTAACGCAGAAGGCCACATTTTCAGTTAATAGTTGGTTGATTGAATCCTTAGCTATGCTTTCCTGCAACAGCTTCTTGCTTCATCATGTAAAACTCACATAGTGCAACACATGTTGTAGAATTATAGGATAAGGATGGTCATTTTCTATTTTAACAATATTTTCAGCACTCTTCATACAGGGACTAAACCCAACAATGATTGCCTCTACTCATGATTATTGTCTGTCAGTCCAGGATTAGTTTATTCGTCTGTGCTGTAGACTTCCACCGTTGCACTGGATGGCATATTTCTTTATTATGAAACACAAGACCCTGGTATTTGTTAAGAATGTCCAGAGCTCTCTTTCATGGGCCCTTGACTGTTGCTTATTTCAGATGCTGTATAATGTTATTGCAGTTCAGAGTATTTGGGACAATTTATATATTTATTTTGTAATGAGGAACCCAGTGCAGCGGTGTATTTCCCTGATGTTTTTTTATTGTTTCTGAACATCAACGGAAGTCTGTGGCACAGACAAATAAGCTAATTTAGTTCTGAGAGATTGACAGACACTCATGAGTAGAGGCAAATCACTGTTGGTTTTAATCTCTATATGGGAAGCATGTAAAATACTGTTAATAGAAATTGACTGGCCTTATCCTTTAAGGAATAGTACTTGAGTTGGATTTTAATCAAATCTTTATTGTTCCAGAAAAAGTAAAATGTTTGTGTCTTTCTGATGAAAAACCCTCAGTTCCATTTGTCTCTGTTAAAGTAGATGAGGACAGCATCAGTGACTGGTCCACTGACAGCTGTGGGTGGAGTGATGATGACTTTGGGATGGATTTGGATGTCACCACACCTCCCTTGAGCGTGGACTCTGGAGCTGTGGACACCAGTGACCAAGAGATAGTGCGATGTATCTGTGAGGTGGAGGAAGAGAATGACTTCATGATCCAGGTGAGCTGCTTATAGCTTCTGTATTTCTAAGACTTTAGAAGCTTTATATATCTTATATTCTCATCCATCATTATTGCCTTACCCTTCTCACAGTGTGAAGATTGTTTGTGCTGGCAGCATGGCACGTGCATGGGACTGCTAGAAGAAAATGTTCCAGACAGATACACCTGCTACATCTGCAGAGACCCCCCAGGTGAGGGAAAAACCAACACTTGAATCAAAGTTCTTTTGTGATAAATTATATACTGTCGTAGATTTGTTAACATCAACACACTCATGCTTTGCTAATCTGGAGGACCTCATGCTTTCAGTTTCATTTGGCAAAGTATTATCTGCCATCTAGTGGACAATAAGCCAAATAACACTGTACACTAATAACATTGGACATTTTACTTACAGGACTTACAGTATTTCACCACCTGAGGCATCGCCATTGAGTAGTTAGAACATGCAGAATGCAAGCACTTGCGGTCACAAACACCAGCGATGTCTAACTCAGCTCCTGTAAGCAGCGAGCGAATCGTAGAGAAAGCCCAGTAACAAACTGTACCATCAGCATTTACGGTATATTGCACCCTTTGGCAAAACAACAAAAGCCACAGAGACATCAGACATAATGTTGCTGTAAAGACACAGCCTAGTTCTTAAAGAGACACGTTGATCGCCTAACAGTTTTACTTAGTGTTTTCACTCGAAACATATCGCAGACAGTTTCTGAACAGCTCATTGCTTTGGATGACCTTTCATTGCAATTCTTTGTCACACTCAGGCCAGAGGCAAAGTCTTCGCTACTGGTACGATCGTGAGTGGCTGAGCAATGGTCACATGTATGGCCTCTCTTTCCTGGAAGAGAACTACTCTCACCAAAACGCCAAGAAGATCACCACCACTCACCAGCTGCTGGGAGATGTGCACCATGTGGTAGAGATCCTCAACGGGTTGCAGCTCAAGATGAATGTCTTACAGTGAGTACAGGGGAACTGCATGAAGAGGCTTGATGCTGTTAGCCACAGAAGGCAAACTGAATGTGGATCATGAGAGAAATTATTGTTGTCTGGGATGATTTCAGCTAAACCAACATAGGTGTTTTTTTATTTATGTCATGTTTTACGTAAATCGCCTAATCTTTCCTTTTTGTTTTTAGGAGCAGCACTCCTCACCCTGACCTGCAGCTATGGCGGCAGCCCTGGAAGCATTTGGAGAGGTCTCGGATTGGCTATGACTCATGTCGGAGCAGCAATGCAGCTCCATCTCCTATGACTCCTGATGAGGACATGAGCCGTGGAGAGATATTAATGTCCAATGCACTGGAGAAGCTAAGTCGGGCTGCTACAGCTGCCACCTCCTCTTCATCCTGCTCCTCCTCCCCCTTCCCATCCTTCCAAGACTCGTACATTACCAGTGAACACTGCTACCAAAAACCACGGGCATATTACCCAGCAGTGGAGCAGAAGCTGGTGGTGGAGACCTGCCAGGGCTCAGAGCTGGAGGACAGCATGAGAAGCACTGAGGAACTGCTGGAGCGGGAGCAGCGCTACGGGAGCCTGACAGACAAACCCAAATCAGTAGACATCAGTAACAAGGTTGGGCTTTTTTCTACAGCAGATGGGGATGTAGCCTGAGTGGTCACTGTAGAGAAGTGAAATAAGTGTAACCACTCGCATCATTTCAGGAATATTTTTCCTTTCTTTAAAATCAAATTTGAAAATTTACACTTCAGTACATCTTCAGAATCCCTGACTTCAGCCAGTTGCTATGGAAAATCCTTTTTAAATGAGCCAAACCTGGTACACTTAGTGGTGTTCAGACTGAGTGCATAAAAACACAACCCCAAGGCAAGGGGTTGCGTTGGCAATCGAGGTGAGGGGTTGCAAGGGGGGGGGTCACATAGGTGTGTGGGGTCATTCATGTTTCCATTTTGTTTTGGTTAGCCGTATTGCTAATGTACTCTACATTAGCACCAGTTTCTACCACCAGTGTTTTGGACTCAATTCTGTTTCTGGTCCACTTCAGCTCTGATGTTGCCTCAGTCCTCTTTCTGTTCACACTAGTTATTCTGGAGCTCTCAAACCTTTACTAAGTTCTTTTTGCATAGTTTTTTTCACTTTGATGAGGCACTACAGTAAGGTCCTAATGAAGCCCCTCGCTCTCATATGAGTTGAAAACTGGATGAATATTTTCTGAGTGTGGTAGACAGTTGTCGTTTGATGTGCTCCTCATTCTATATCTGGAGAGGTGCAGTGGTTTATTTCCCATACCAAAGTACTCCTCGTCCATATGGTATTAAGATTTTAATGTTGCTACTCTTCTTACTGATACTGCTTATTGAGCTGGCACTTTAACAGTACTCTTACCAGTTTGTTGTTGTTTTTTTTTCCACTGGGTAAAAATGTTGCATCTAAGAATTAATATTGCCTTATTTTATATGTACTATTAACATTCTTGAGTTGCAAACTGCAACAAATCCTAGACTTTAATGTC